CAGCCAAATCACATTGAAACACTGGTTCCTCTATGATCACTGGTTAAGCAACACTGGGTCTGGTCAGTACCTAGGTGGGTGACCTCTTGGGAATACCAGGAGCTGTGATTTTAAATGTGGTTTAATGGATAATGACTTAGAATTGTTACAGAACCAAGTTCCAATTTCAGTTATGTTTAGTATATTAATTTATGTGCAAATATCTTATTCACCTCTTTTCCCACCAGCTATGGGTTAAGTAGTAAAACTTGTATCACTAAACTATTATTAACTCTAAAAACAATACAATCTAAACATATTTTTTGGCTTTAAATAACTTGCAAAGGGTTGATAAGCTGTAGAAAACGAATTAATCAATCAACCAAGTTTAAATTAGCCCTTTTAGCACAGATATCCATTTCAGTTTCATTTAGATTGTGTGTGTATGTTTACATGTACACATGGATATTTTGCTTCAATAACAGACCTAAATATTTCTATAGATTTTTTTAAAAGCCTTAAAATAATTCTATTGTTTAATTATTATTATTCTATTAGCAGCATGGCTTTCGTTGCGTCCGTGCTTGATTCAAAAATCGTACGACTCATACAGTAATCACTATCCTTGACTTAAAACATTTTTGCCCTTCCTTGCCTTTAAAGGAGTGCCCTTTGCCATGCTTGATGTTGCTACATGCCTTACTTCTTGCCTATCTCACACTGCAAATTTTCTAAGCTCTATACTAAACATTAAATCTGTTACGAAAAAAGAACTAAACAAAATGAACACAAAATGATCAGCTTTAAAAAGGACTCGTAACTGGAAAAACTGAATGAAAAAAGAATGTTAACAACAAATACTTTTTCACACCCAGAATCAGAATCAACGTTGAGTTTAAGCAAGTGAATGGAGCCAATTGGAGTAAAGTGCCATGTAGATTTAAATTTTTCCACTTGTGACGAATGCAGATATCGATTTTCTTTGCATGCTAGCATGCTAGTTAACATTCGTGTATGTCAGCTGTTGGCTCTCTCACTGGCCAATAGAATCTTCCTGCCCATTCGTGGCAGCCAGCTATAGGCTCTCACTCTCAATTATTTCCACCATCGATGGGAGTTGGGAAATGCAAAGTCAGTCTTAAAAAAATTTCCACTAACTTTGTGCATGTGCATGTAAATTTTGGTGCAAAATGCATTGAAAATTGCAGCTGTGCATTGGTACACACACACACACACACACACACACACACACACACACACACACACACACACACACACACACACACAAACATCCTGCCTTTTATAGATAGAGATTTATTTATTAATTTATGAAAAGTTTAATAAAATTGTATAAATATCAGACTTTTTAGGTTTTAAAAAATTAACTTTTTATTCTTGTCTTAAAATTTATAATTTTATTGCTCTCCCAGGTTCAGGGTAATCCAGTGTATGGGGAGAGGAATGTATTCTTCCAATGTTTTATTTCAAAGTCAGTTAAATGGTGTATATTTGTGTCTGCAGGTACTTGTGTGTACATTAAATGTCAAATGTAAATCATTCACACACAATACAGGCATATGCGTTCACATTGCAAACACGTATGCAAAGTTACACAGAGTGTGTAATGAACAGAGAATCAGCTCTTTTATAATATAGATTGTGTATTAATAGGATATTTTTCTTAATCATTTCATCCCAAGCAAGGCAACAAAGCCACTAAGACACAAGGGGCTACTGGGAGTGAAAGAGAATGAGAAGAACCAGGAACTCAATGCTAAACAGGAAACAAGGGATAAACCTCTACTCCTGTTCAAAAGATAAGGAAAGGAGTGTAAACCGGGTGATTTAGGATGATAAAACACATAATCATGTCAATAAAACAGTTTTCTGCTTTGTCAAATTTATCAATACAGACTGTGAAAAAATATTTTAATAGTTTTCCTTTCTTATTGCAACTTTTCAAGTTTGTCATACTGCTGGTGTTATCTGCACTGATAATCTTAAGAAGTCTTGAACGCTAAATTCCTTTGTTTATTATTTTGCCTCTATGAGAGGATTCTGGAAAAAAAAAAAGTTTTTTTTCTTGTATAAATTTCTATGATAAGTTTTATCTCCACAGCAGAAAATGTTCATATTCAGAACAACCTGGCCTCAGCTGGGTAGTTTCAAAATAATATTAGCTCAAGCCCTGGGGTCCAACCTCCAAGTAGTACCTCTCTTCCTTTCTATCATTACTCAATTCAAATTAGCACATATTGAACTTCAACATAAAAAAAAATGTACCCCAATTTGGGGTACACAGTGGGCATACCAGAACATTAGGTGTTTCTCTCCAACTTAAAACTAAACAAACTAAACTTCTGAAAATGCTCCTCCTCCTGCTCTGTCTCTTGTTTGATCGTGATGTTTTCATCAACAGCCTTGATTACTTTCCCTTTCCTTCATTACAAACATTCTTTATCCAAATATTGATGTTTCTGAATTATTTCCTTCAAACTTAGTGTTCCATGGAATTGGTCAG